GTGGACCTGCAAAAATTCAATCTCCTGTTTCTGATCTTCAGTTTTTGTAGGCATCCCTTCGTCTCCAGTGAGGGGTGTCAGGACCAAATTCCACCATAATTTCTAAGCTTACTTACCTATGACACAAATGAAATGTTTGATACAGACTAAGTGCTTGAATTTCAACAACTCAGTAGAGAAACCCTGAATAAATTAATCAAGGAAAGGAAACTGTGCTTTAAAAATTACTGAAGACTATCCATTTCAGAACGATCAACATTCAATCGCAAAACCATAAAATAACTTACACTTGGATATAAACTACTGTTAGAACAATATTTTGCAACCATATTTTGTAAGGAAATGGTGAAGTTCTGCAGTAAGATTTTCTGATCTTACTTTTTGCTCATTTTTTATACTTCTGGCAAATGAAAGAATTCATTATGGTGTAATAAAAAGGATATATTTTTGGACTGGATTATAATTAAAATGAATTAGGTCAATGAACTGTATCTGAATCACTACTTTCATACTCAGAAATGCTGTTTGGTACAGATAATATTTTATGTCTCTATTGTAAGTAATATATTTTCAGACAAATAAAAAAACCCCTAAAACTGTATCTGTGATATATGGTCAAAATCACAGTAATTATGTGCATAAAGCTGAGTGTCTGAGCATAAGTTTTGTTCTTAATTTTTGGCTTTTAATCTATCTCTGACTAGCTAACTCTGCTCTATATGGTCAAGCATCTTGTGTACCTTTGCCTGAAATTCTGCACATTGCAAATTATGTATAAAAAATAAGCTAAAAGATTTAAACAATGGAATCTGAACTGCTCTATTTGTGAATAACTTCTTTAATAAGCTAATTAGAAAACAGCACTTTATTATAATGTTGCAGGTTGTAAGAGTTAAAATAAAAATAGATGGGTTTTTTGAGAATTTTTCTCTCCAATATTCATTAATAAAAAAACTTTAACATCAGGTGAATGGTGTCTTTGGGTCTCCCAGGTGACACTACAGAGATAAAGGGCTGCTCGTAAACCAACAAGTACCTGTACCCAGATCCTAAAAAGTATTTAGAAATACTCCTCTTGATTTCTGATCAGCAGTGATACTTCTAAAGCTCAACAGTATCAAGCTGGTGAGTTGTAGAGCAGATGTGCGAGAGCTAAAGCCAATGCTGAGCAAAACTACTTTGTTCTGGCAACTTGCCTAATTTTAACCTCTCTGTGCATGTCCCATCTGTAATACCTAAGCTCTTTCAGACATGCAGAACTACCTGCTCCCAATGGTGGCTTATAAGAGAACTGTAGGTATAATGACAAGCTGTTCTAACTATTATTTCTCAAACTGCTGGTCAGTACCTTTCTGCCAGTTCCAAAAAATGCCAGATATCATGTGGCAGCAGTTCTCTCTTTCAGGGTGGCAGCAGCTCTTGCCTTAACAAGTACTGACAGCTTATGATTAGTGACTGCAGGATTTTACTCTACCCAGGGAATTGATAACCACCTTAAATTGCTGACAGCAGTTCATTTTCTCCAAGGTGGAGGAGTGAATATGAACACTTGTAGCCAATTAGAAGCTCCTCTCTCTTGGCTGATATGGAGGAGCTAAGCTCCTGGAAAGTCTAATTGAAGGGAGGTGAGATGAACCAAGTGGAGGTGACATTTTCAGGGTTGCATAACCCAGTTCTAGATATTTCTAGATTTTCTTGCCTAGTTCCAATATTTTATTTTCTGCATTTGTGCTGACAAAAATACACAAAATGAATCCAGCACTTCTCCCAGCTTCTTTTGCTCCTGTTTCTTCAGCCATACAAGCAATTACAGCATTACAAAAACAGAAGCAAAGTTGGTTACAAAAACAGAAGCAAAACATATCTAATACTGATGCAGAGATGAAGCCTCAATTATTTGTTACAACTTGACACTTTTTATGTACTGAGCGTTTATAGAATTTGTCAGAGATGGAGACAAATAATGCAGGATTTGATCACATGTTCCTGCTGTCCTGAATAAAGCTTCACTTCTGCAAACACAAGGTAGGTCAAGACCCTGTATGACTCATGTGTAGTCATAATGAGATCTTTAAGCATTCAATGTGACTTGTAGATAATTGCAGATACCAAAGAAAGACAAGTGTTTGAAAAGTTATTTCTGTTTCCACATAAGAGTGTCATATGGACTTCTTTTCATAGTCAGAGTAAGTGTAACGTGGACCCCGGCTGTGCAAGATTCATGTCTTCCATGTTAATTTGGTTTTGGTTGTGTTTTTTGTTTTGTTTTACTTGTTTGTTTGGTTTCCTTTCTTTCTTTTCTTTTTTCTTTCCCT